TTAGGTATACTCGCAGCAGTATCTGGTCGTAAGGATCCCAGGGGGATACGTGTTGGGAATTTCGTGTGTTGAAGGGTACCACAGGCGCAGTCACGGGGACCCTTTGGGCGTGGTCGGTGCGATGATGAGGCTTGCGTGCGTGCTGCGCACTTCTTCCCTCTCTCTCTCCACCACCACCACTGTCTCTCTCCAATCAAGTTTCCTCCTCCCACTCTCTCTCTAACTCTCTCTCAACCTCGACCTAACACGGCCGACTACCCAGTGCCCCAAAGTAACGTCCAGAACGTGCTTGCTGCACCCCGCGTAGTTTACCTTTCACACTGGTGTACCGATATCACGGTATCTGCGCGCGGGCGTAGCCTTCCGGGGGTTGTGCAGTCACGCGCAATCGGTAGACTCCCACAACAACATAAACCATGGAAGGCATCGACCTCTCCGCCCTTAGCGGGAAGAGCTACAGCAATAAGTGGAGGAGATCGTCCAGCACGAGTACAAGCCGAACTCGAAGCCAACAGGATCAACGAGGGTGAAGTCACCTACGCCCAACCATCAGCCGGCAACCCAGTCCCACCTACCGGCAGCCAGCCATCACCCTCCAGCCCGGGTAAAACAGCTACCTTCAACGATCTCAGCAGCGTCGCACACATCGTGGCGCAAGCGGCCAAGGCGACAGCTGAGGCCATCGCTGAACAACAGGGCTTTGCCCGCTCAGGCACGTTACGTGTCAATCCTGGCTCAGAAATAGAACCTTGGCTTGGTAGCGTGAAGAATGAGCAGGAATGGCATATCATGTTTGATATTATTCGAAGTAAGATGATTTCATACTTTCAGGAGGAGCGCGTGCATGATGCGTTGGAACTGGAGGTCGAGGTCAAGGTCGGGAAGAGGGGTGTGAAGATAGGAGACCTTCGGAGACTTTTTGGGAATGAAGTGGTAGACAAGTCTTTCAAACTGTGGAACACCCTTATTAGCAAGTTTTGTATCCCCCGATTCAGAGCTTGATTCTGGCGTGTGAGAGTCCCCGAAAAGGCTGGAAAATCGTGACAGAATTCTATCAGGAGAAAAATCAGTCAGAAAAGTCGAGGTTGGAGCAAGACTGGACGGAGTTGGAAATGAGAGAGTCCGAGAGTCCACGGGATTACATTGCCCGCTCAGAGCCCTTCGCCTGCGTCTCACATCTGTAGGCACGATTAAGGATGAAACAGATGCCAACAAAGACATTGCTCGTGGCCTTCCCTCTTCGTTGTTTGCCGTGCAAAAGGGAATACTGCTTGCCCATGATGTCCTGACGTTGCGTACCCTTAAGACAGTGGTGACAGACGCCCACGTGGAGATGGAGCGCAAGAGGAGCAAGCGGGAGAGGCGCGAGGTGAAGCTCGTTCTCGCCGCGTCCGGCATGGGCCGGCGCGGCGGGGG